GTGTATTTTGCCATTATTTTTCTATCATACTCATGTGTGTTATTTCTTCAAAAACCTCATCATATCTCTGTGACAAATAGCCTTGATTTTTTCAAAAGTCATCTTAAATGGTAACGTTTTCAAAATTTAAAACCTAATAATTTAAATACCTTTTGCTCTTTTCCCTTACACACTGGGTTGAGGACTGTTTTGAATTTCTTTTTTTTTTTTTAAGATTTTATTTATTTATTTGACAGAGACATAGCGAGAGAGGGAACACAAGCAGGGGGAGTGGGAGAGGGAGAAGCAGGCTTCCCGCCGAACAGGGAGCCCGATGTGGGGCTCGATCCCAGGACCCTGGGACCATGACCTGAGCCGAAGGCACACGCTTAACGACTGAGCCACCCAGGTGCCCTGTTTTGAATTTCTAAGGAAGAAATAACACTTAATGCTACGGTCTCTATCACCGTGGTTCACCATGGATATTACCATCCTCCCTAAGCAACATCAAGGTCAATCTTATCATAGCCACCTGTTATTTTATTTCAGAAAAACAGAGAAACCATTATTCAGTTACTACAGAAAGGTCACTGGAACAGTGGGGAAAGGTTATTTCAGGTCAACAAACTCTACACTGTGTAATACAATAGGGAATTAAGGCTTCTGAAAACAAGCAATATAGGACCCAGGCTTCGGGAGACAAGAGACTTGCTATTCCTCTGGCTTTTCCTAGCTTGTCAAGACTATGACTTAATGTAATTGACCGTTTCTCAGAACCAAAACAATGCAGGTCAAAATGCTGTCAGCAAACAGTAGTCAAGGCCTTTGAACACATTATGTGATTTGTGGGTGGGAGAAAGCTCATTTTGCCAAAAGACTTTTGAGAAGTCATGACCAGAAGAGTTAGGATCCACTTAGTCCTGCAGAGGGAATGAACACACAGTAACCAGCCACTAGATGTCATTCTCCCTCAGAATGCTGTTTACATGTTGCTTATCCTAGTCAAAAGGAAGTCAAATGGTCTAGACAACTAATTCCTTAAATGGCATTAATTTAAAATAATCTGACCTTTGATTGGGGTGCTGCACAGTTGTTGACAAAAATAAAAATGAAAACCCACTGGAGACTTGCCATCAACCCCCAAAAGCAAGCAGCTGGCCAAAATACAACATTTTAATGACTGTACTAAAACACGTACATGACTTCTGGACACTAGAGGGGAAAAAAAGGTCCAAAGAAGCAGGAAAGTAGGAAATGCACAAAGTCAACATCCAAGTCACATCAGTACTCCTAAATCAGGGGAAAGTACTAGTTTCCTTTGTAAAAAATGTTTTAAAGAACCAACAGCATGAAAGAGCTATTTCATTTTCTTTCTTTTTTTTTTTTAAATAAGTTCAGAGTTCTTGATCACCTTCAAGATTGCATTTTTTCAACTGTGCAGTTTTTTGCACAGTTCATTCATGGGAAGGAGCACTGAAAGCAATTTCCATTGACACTTCATCACAGGTTGCAAACAGGTGGCTAAAGAACCCCATCCAGCTTGAGACATTATTGTACTGAATGGATGCTTTAAACTTCAATTGAATTAGTTGCCAACATTTTTTAAAAAATTGAGATATTAGATATAAAGCATGAATTTTTAGCTTCTCTTGAAAAAAGTAGAAGATGTGGCAGCAGCTCTGGGCCCAGGTTCCCATGCAGCAACAGCAAGGGGACAGAACGGCCCCCTCTGGACCCACAGACATGCACACTCCACTTAGCAACCAGGCCCACCAAGTTCCTTTTATTCCAGTTGGCTTCCTGCATGGTCAAGAGGAATCTGATTTTACAACTCCTGCTGTAAAAACCATAGGAAAAGGAAGGTTTTTGAGATGTACTTTTTTTTTTTTTTTAAGATTTTATTTATTTATTTGAGACAGAGAGAATGAGAGAGAGAGAGAGCACATGAGAGTGGGGAGGGTCAGAGGGAGAAGCGGGCTCCCCGCCGAGCAGGGAGCCCGATGCGGGACTCGATCCAGGGACTCCAGGATCATGACCTGAGCCGAAGGCAGTCGCTCAACCAACTGAGCCACCCAGGCGCCCCTTGAGATGTACTCTTAAGATCTGATTGAACAGAATGATTTTCATATCAGAAAAAGAAAAGTCCGAACTACAGAAGACGTACTTCTTCCAAGATAACCCCACAGGCATAAGCACTAAATAGCTAATTAGAGAGATGTGCAAGATTAAACAATCTTGCCCAACCCATTCAGCTAGATTCCCATAGTCCCAGCACAGACGTCAGGAGGACCCTGGGTCATCACAAAGTTGGGGGAGGCGGGGGGTGCTACTGATATTCAGTGCACAGGACTCAGGATGCTGGATGCCCCAAAATGCATGGTACCATCCTGTATAAGGATAAAGCATTATTAATCCTGTACAGTTGTATGTCTGGTTGTCATTTACATGGGTTAAAAGGCTGTCTGCAATTTCTGGGTCTAGCTCCTAACTCCACTTTACATATCAACACAAAGCATAGTTTTACATGGTTTAATTACCATTAATACATTTACCCAAAATGCAAGGGCTATTTAATAAAGGGAAGAGTGTACTTTGCATTATTTGTAACACTACCAAGATCTGCTGACCATTTTGGAAAATTACTTACAAAAAACATGCTTTTTAGCAGCCAGTACTACACACCTACCTGAGTCACAGTCTTTGGTTGCCTCAGAGTTTATACAAACAGGAGTGAACATTTACTTCCTTAAGTCCCCTAGAGTAATCCTGCCCAAGCATTAACTAAAGTACATGATTATAAGATTTATTACTTTCCTTTTATTTCTCCTTCATAATTCATTTTAAAAAAATCTGGTGTCTTCAGAGGTTGTATTATTTATGAATGTTATTTCATGTTCATATAGTTACATAGTATTTTCTATTAAGAGGGAGTCTGTTGAGGTTGAGAATGTCTGCCCTAAAATCATGAAAATAATGATGCAACTCCTTAAGTATTCAAACCAACCTATTTGTTTCTGTTCTCTCTTCTTCTCCTACCCTCTGACTCCCACAGATGCCTCAGAATGAGGCTTGTCACTTCTTCTTCCTCCAGGAAGCCCTCCCTGACTACCATATCGCCCACACTTACTCACAGAGATGGATTTGGGTGCCCCATCTAGGTGTTCCCACAGCCTCCTAGGTGCTTTTAGGTTCACCCCTTAATAGTACTTGCCACACTATCTTGTCACCACTTCTTTATTCCTTATTAACTCTTGAGCTCCCAGAGGGTTCAGATGCTGTCACAGTTTTATCCCAATTCCCTAGCACTGTGCTGCTTCATTCAACAAATATTTCTTGAGCACCTACTATGGGCCAGATACTATCACAGGCTCTGGGGACACAGCGGTGAACAAGCCAGCCATTGCTTCTCATCGTGGGGAGCTGTCATTCTAATGAATGAAAGAGGATAATTAAGGGAAGTACTACATATAATTGCAGACTGTCATCAGTGCTGAGAAAAATAGTGTTGCAGTGGAGGAAAGCCAGCAGGGCATCGCTGAGATAAGGGAAGTGAGGTGAGACCTCGCTGAGATAACACTTAAACAGAGATATGAAGGAGGCAAAGGTCTTCACCTAGGAAAAGTCAGGAGAAGAAAGTTCTAAGTTGACAAACTGGAAGCACAAAGGTAGCAAAATTGTTAAGAGACTATGGCGCTCAAAAAAATGAAGTGAAATAAAGCTACTGGAGCAGAGTGAGTGCAGTTCAGAAGGCTCAGAGGAGAAATCAGGGTCCAGCAAAGCATAACGTCTAGATTTCATTTTAAATGCAATGGGAGTTACCGCCTGTGTGTTCTCACCCTGGACAAGCTCACTGAGTTTAGGAACCAGGTCTTTTCATCAGACCTAGAGCACCTAACCCCATCCAACATGGTACACACGGGACCAAGAAGGCCCTCCACAGGACCCTTCCTTTTACCAAATGCAGCTGGTTGTGACTTTGCCAAAAAAAAAAAAAAAGAAAAGAAATTAGTCAAGGAGAGCCAGCGTGACAGATGACCTGGTAAGCTCCATGGTGCTCACAGATACTCTACGTCTTTAACTATTACCACTAAGTCTCAAAAGAGACCTTTGTTTTTCATTCCATTAGTAAATATTTGAGTGCCTACTGTGTTATAGGCATGAGAGAGACACCAATGTGCAAACCTGACACAAATCTGTGCCCTCAAATAGTTTACATACAAGTGGGGGTAGCCAGCTGATAAAATACATTAGAAAGATTATGATAAATGACATTGAGAAAAATAAAGCGAGAAAGGGGCACAGTGAATGGGTTGCAATTTTAATACTACTACATTGGATATATGTCATGTCCTTCTAAATATCTCAAAGTAGTTCCACACAAATTAGCCTCACCAAAGAATTAGGTCATCTAGATACGAGACACTAGAAAACTATGTCATTGTTTTACAGACGGAGAAATATGCTCAGAGAGGCTCCGAAACTCGCTCATGGTCACACAACACATCAGCAGTGGAATAAGCTTATATGCCAACTAATAGTCAAGATATATACAGTGCTAAAATTTATTAAGCACTTATTACGTTGCAGGCACTGTTCATGTGCCTTTTATGTTTCATTTCACATAATTCTCACAACAATCTCTTGATGTGGATATTATTACCATTCTCATTTTAGAAGCAGGTAATGAAGGCACCAAAGAGCTAATTAACTTTCTCAATATCAGTACTGAGTGAGTGATACAGCCAGGATTTGCTTCCAGAGCTTGTGCTCATAACCAGTACTCTAGCTAGAGTCACCCCAGAAAGGGAATGGCTAAGAAAACAGTAACTCTCAAGGGATCCCAGGTTGACTCCAACCCATCTCTTCTTAGGGTCAACTCCCTTTTACCCCTTTATCAAAGGACATAGGAAAGCCTGTGCCCAGAGCTGGAGGGTTGCAAAGCTAACCCACTTCACTCAGACACAACCCAAGTGGCCGTTCCTAAGACCCCCATCATGGAGAGGTCCCTCGCAAATACGTACGTGCAGTTTGTTGAGCAATACGGCATCTGTTGTGCTGTTGGCCCCTGGCTTGGCAGCTTTCCAGAACTGCTTCTGGGCAGAGTAGCGATTCATGGGACATAGCTTAAAGAGGCAATCTAGAAGTGAAACAAATAAAAATCATTTTTGAGGAAGTATATGCATTCAACCTATGAAAAAACATTCTATGTATGTATAAATGACAAGTTACAAGGCCTTTTTAGGAACCTTTCCTCTGACCTTTAATCTATACCACCACAATGTGAGGTGCCAGGTGAGGAAACTGAGGCTTTCAGAAAGTAAGTCAATTCAATGGCCATTGTCACACAGCCAGTTAGGGGCGGATCTAGGACTCGGAGTTCAGGGCTCTTAAAGCTACCCCATAGTGATCTCCTTTCCTTCATGATGGGCAGACAGAAGGATGGACACCCTAGTAATATGCAACAACACAAGCATTTTCATATGTAAATATAACTCTCTTCCATCCAACTACATTAAAAAAAAATTAATAAACTACAGAAGGGGTGCCTGGGTAGCTCAGTGGGTTAAGCGTCTGACTCTTGATTTCAGCTCAGGTCTTGATCTCAGGGTCGTGAGTTCATGCCCCATGTTGGGCTCCATGCTGGAACCTACTTAGAAATAAATAAATACTAAAGAATCTTTCTGGCAGGGACCTCTTAGGGCAGTGGTCTCTTGAGCACCATATACAAGATGATTCTCGGGAGCAGAAATAAACTATCAGGGGGGCTTGCACTGAAACAGCACAAGCCTTTGTCCCTCAGTGTCGGTGCATCATGATGTGTTTCCATGTGGGTATGCCTGGGCTCATACGACTTCATATATTGTCTTAGGTAGTAGAACTGGCCCTCACGTGCGGAGAAAGGGGAACCCTCCTGCACTGTTGGTGGGAATGCAAACTGGTGCAGCCACTCTGGAAAACAGTATGGAGGTTTCTCAAAAAGTTGAAAATAGAGCTACCCCACGACCCAGCAATTGCACTACTGGGTATTTACCCCAAAGATACAAATGTAGCGATCCGAAGGGGCACGTGCACCCCAGTGTTTATAGCAGCAATGTCCACAATAGCCAAACTATGGAAAGAGCCAAGATGTCCATTAACAGATGAATGGATAAACAAGATATGGTATATATATACAATGGAACATTATGCAGCCATCAAAAAAACAAAAACAAAAAACCCCTGAAATCTTGCCATTTGCAACGATGTGGATGGAACTAGAGGGTATTATGCTAAGCGAAATAAGTCAATCAGAGAAAGACAAGTATCATATGATCTCACTGATATGAGGAATTCTTAATTTCAGGAAACAAACTGAGGGTTGCTGGAGTGCTATGGTGAGCGCTGTGATAAATCACAGACCTGTACCTCTGAAACAAATAATACATTATATGTTTAAAAAAAAAAAGAAGAAGAAGAAGAAGATAGTAGGAAGGGAAAAATGAAGGGGGGGAAATCGGAGGGGAAGATGAACCATGAGAGACTATGGACTCTGAGAAACAAACTGAGGGTTTTAGAGGGGAGGGGGGTGGGGGGATGGGTTAACCCAGTGACGGGTATTAAGGAGGGCACGTTCTGCATGGAGCACTGGGTGTTATATACAAACAATGAATCATGGAACACTACATCAAAAACTAATGATGTAATTATGGTCACTAACATAACATAATAAAATAAAATTAAAAAAAAAAAGAACTGGCCCTCACACAACAGACAAGTGGCTTCAAAGTATTTCTGCAAAGAAATCCAAACATCGAAGATAATTGTAATGCACATCGAGCACAAGATAATTGTAATGCAAACCGAGCATGTAAGAAAAAGGCACAATCAACCCTTGTTGCATTCCTCTTGTGAGCCACTAGACAGGGAAAATAATGATGATCTAAAAAAGAAAATCTGAAATCACCTAGATAATAAACCTGATAAAACCATTTAAAGCACTGTCTCTAATGATGAGCCTAACCCTACAGCACCTCTGTGCCTTACAGTAGGATAATCATAATAGGATAATCATGATAGGATACTACGCTGTTTAATCTTCATCTTTTCATCAATGTTTATTTTCCTGCTTGTTTTTATAATGTATACAATATATTAGTACTGTAACACATATATAGAACTTTTAAATATTTACATAGACATAGTATAGATGTATACTTGTCAAATATTTTTGATAGGGACATGCTACCAAAAAAGTTTAGAAATAATTGCTCTAAAAAACTAACACGAAAATTGACACTTATTCCCTGAGAAGTTTACATTTTGACATAATTGGGTTTTTAAAAGGTTAAGTATTAGGGCGCCTGGGTGGCTCAGTCATTAAGCGTCTACCTTCGCCTCAGGTCATGATCCCAGAGCCCTGGGATGGAGCCCTACATCGGGCTCCCTGCTCTGCGGGAAGCCTGCTTTTCCCTCTCCCACTCCCCCTGCTTGTGTTCCCTCTCTCGCTGTGCCTCTCTCTCTGTCAAATAAATAAATAAAAAATCTAAAAAAAAAGAAAAAAGGTTAAGTATTTATAGAGTAAAATTAATAACTCTGGAATGAAAACCCAGGTTTGGAAAAAGTATACTTTGAAGTATTTCAGAACGGGCTTCTAAGGACATTCAATCTAGTAACCACACACTTATTCTCATCTGTTCACTGAAACAGATTCTCTTAAAGGACCTCAAACAGGAAAATACCTAGTTATAGTCTACACCAAATAACTCTTTCAAAGCAACAAAAATTCATGTGCTATCAAATACGTAGACACTAGGACTTTGCTCTAATTCAGATCACCGTTTCTTCTGTTGGGATCATTGAATTTTTACAAAGTACTACACAATCCCTTGACACTGTTCAGGAAAAAAAATAAAAGATCATTTAATTGTAGAAATAAAAAGTACTTTCCCCCTTTCTGTAATCTCCTTCTTCACTAAATATTTCTACCTAATCACAAGCAGTTATAAGTTAAATATAAAACCACTGATGCCTACCCTTATCAAGAACATAATCCACCTACTCAAAGTAATCATTAGGGCATATGAAAGATGCCATCTAGATCATTAGAAAACAAAGGACACTGCAGGTAACCTATTAAAAGATAGAGCTGTTGTCCCCACCTCTTATGAAAGCCACACGTCACTGTCATTTACTGTCTCAGTGGCAACTTAATGACATCACTGAGACAGTATTCCTACCAGTTTCACAGATGTGAACCCCCCCCCCCGCCATTTACCCCATGAACAAGCACACACAACCATGAGACTATTGGTCAGCTTAGGTCCTAGCTTTGGTGGTGGACAGAGGTGGGCTGGACAATGGTGACTTCCTTGATAATCACATGACTTAAAAAAAAGGCATTCAAAACATGAATGCCACCAGTATTAGTATTTGACACAGAACTTACTTTATGGGCCAAATTAGGTAAACAATTTCAAACTTCATCAATAATGAGAGTAAAGCGGTCTATTTTTTTCCTCTAACACACTTCATATGATAATAGCTAAATGGTATGAATTGCAAACAAAAGAATTTAAGTTGGTTCTAGGAACAATCAGGCTGGAATCATAATGCCAAGGGATTAACATGAAATGGAAAGTACCATTCTACAAGTGTTCATGGGACAGCCAAGTCAAACACCCCACTTAAATAAATGGGCCACAACACAGGCTCAAAACTTCAGGGGACTTTCCCTTCATCTAGGATGACAGTGTCAATTTAAGTACTATCAATCCAACCAAAGTCTTGCCATAACTTCCACACCAACTATTTTCCTTGGACAAAATAAAGCATTGCATTGGATTAAGCGTATTTACAACCAACCAGCTATGTAAATATAAGAGATGCTAACAAACTAGTAACAAAACCAAATTAGCCTTGCTGATTTTGTCCTGTCTTCCCAGTTGCTTAGCAACTGATTCAAAGAGAAAATTAAATTAAGCAATTCAAATGTGCTGTTAAACTAACCTTCCAAAATTCTGCAAGTCAGCAGCTCCACATTGCCCTTTGCTATTTGGATGGCACAGCAGGGCAAAATTAAAGTTCCATTGGATTCTAATACTGTGCCAAGTATAGAAATACACAAATACAGGAAATCCAGAAGAATATATATAATACATATTTGAGAGAGGGGAGTACATGTATGTGTGTGTGTATATATATATGTATGCATGTACACACACATACACACACACACACAGTGGTTTGATCTCACCCCAAAGAAATGCCACAAAGAATACCTTATGTGACAAGTGTTATTTTAGGCCTTTGAAGAATAAACTAAGCTTTCAAAAAATTACTTCTGAATATTCCTAAGCTTTAGCAGATGCCATACTGGGCTAACAGAAGAAATTAGTCGAACAGAGGGTTGGGTTACATGCTGAAGGGCTCAGTGGGCTGGAACCCAAACAGAACAGGCCATGGGAGACCTTCAGCATCCCAGAACTTGGTTGGAAGGAGAAGGGTCAACTACTTGAGGATGCATTAACTATGAAATGAGCACTTGTGGTGTCCAGTTAAGAGGAGAGGAAGTCAAGGGGCACTTGGGTGGCTCAGTTGGTTAAGTGTCAGGCTCTTGATCATGGCTCAGGTCTTGATCTCAGAGTCATGAGTTCAAGCCCCGCATTGGGAAAACCAACCAAACAAACAAAAACAAAACAGAAAGAAGTCAACAGGTGTTCATGGAGCCCTCTGCAACAGGGTCCCTGGGGGAGAAAGCAAAAGAAGCCCTCTCAGAGGGAGCCACCTTAGGGACTAAGTCAGATAATAAAGGCTGCCAGAAGAACAGCCAAAACCCCACTCTCTCCACACCATCCTGCACCTACATCCCTAGATTTTTGAACTCTAGAATGAAAGCCTCCTGAGTGCAGAGATTTTTGTCAGTTTGGCATGCACTCATAACCCAGGGCCTAGGAGTACAGAAGGAGTGCAGTGATAGCTGCTGAGTTAGTGACTATATTGTGCTGTAATCTCTACAGCTCCCCAAGTCATGACAGGTATGTCCTCTCAAGACACCTCCAGTCCTAAGCCCCCAGGAATCTATTCATGGACGCAATTACCATTTACTAACGTGCCTACTGTGTGCTGGGTGCAGTACAGGGTGCTGAAAATACAACACTG